GTAAAGCAGATGTGCCGAAGTGCTGGTTTGGAGGGGTGTCTCCACAGACACTGGACTTGGTTCAGCAGCCTGCATGGGAACTTCCACAAGGGACACTTCATGGGTTGCACAAATCTCTATCTCCCAGATTAATGCAATTTGTGAGAATTTTTGCTTAAAAACACACCAAAACTGTATTAGCATCACACTACAGAGTAGGTACAATGTGGGTAAAAGAGCTGTTCATGGATGTATTTTTAGTCTTAATACTTCTCCTGTGAGCTGGGAGATAGTAGAAAATTGCCTCTTGCACTGTGTTTTTCAAAAGATACAGGGAAGGAAGATACAGGGGCTATAAAGAAGTGTTTAGGTGTAGTTGTCCTGGAGGTCTGCAACAGTGGCATCACTGCATGTTTTTATGGCCACAAAACCAGCAACAGACCATGGATTAGATTGTGCTGGATATTTCGAGCAGTGGATTTTTTCTGCTCCCTAGTCGCTATGTACTCCTGCACTTATCAAAGCACTGAAACTCATCAGGGAGTGTGTTCAAATGCCCAAAGTCCTGATGTGTGTTATTTTTCCTTTCTCTGATCTGTGCCAGCTAGATGTAGCTGGGGTAGTCTGAGTGCTGTCTCTTCCATTGCTTCCCCTCCAAGACGGTGTGTCCTGGTGATCTGCTAAAGATTCCCCTCTTCCATGTCTGGAAAAAGTGCCAAGCCTCATTTGTGTTCATTTAGGCTTCAAGTTGCTCTAGGGGTGAAGATCTCATGAAGAACAATGGCTCCATATCTGTGCACTTTGGATATATTTCCTGTTCATCAGGTGTGCAGCTGTTTCCTGTTATCTGATCCTCTTCCCCTCTCTTGCCACGGGCACTTTTGGCATCAGTGTTTGCCACCTCTCAGTGAAGGGGACCCAGAAGTTTTCTCAGTGGCAATGTGGGGTGCAGTTCACCCTTTGAGCAAGGTTGGTGTAGCAGCCTGGTGCTGCTGGAATTGCAATCCAGTCTGGAGTTGCAGTTGCAGCCCAGTCTGCAGGCAGCAGATCTGACACAAGGATGGAGGTGGTGTGGGAAGGGGAGGCAGAAGAGGATCCCTGTCAGCACGTGTCTGTTAAATGCTCTTTGCTGCCATGCTGGCTGCAGGTTCAGCTCTGCCTGACAGCTGGCTCAGGGCAGCACAGAAGTGAGTGGGTGTGTGGGTCACGCAGCTTGCACCGTGCTGGAGGAGGCTTGGCACGTCAGCAGCTTTTCCTCCATGCCTGGCTGGTGCCACCAACCCAGCAAATCTGGGTTGAAACTGTGCTTGAGATGGGTTTGTGTGGTCCTGGTAGCAGGAGGCTTCTGCCACCATTGCCTTTTCTAGGAGACTCTCTTCCCCTCCCTGCTCTGTGACCCATATAGGTCTGGATAAAAAGGGAGACAGCCAGGAGAAAGAAACTTTGGCACAGAGACATTGCCCAGCATGGATACAGACCACAGCCCAAGCAGCCCAGTGAGGGGCAAGTCAAACAGAAAATTACGATAATTAGTTTTATATGTGACAGTGTTGTAGTGCCTCTCAGAGGGTCCCCGAACTTCTTAGTAGTTTTTTCCCTTTTAATTGTTGTTTGAATGTTTCTTCCCTCAGTCTTGAATTACTCTGAGCACTTTTCATAGGTTAATCTGCCTCTTTACCCTTGAGAGTAATTGAGCAGTAACTGGGTTTGCATTTTTTTTCTCTTTATCTTTCAAATGTCTATAAGCCATTGTCATTTTTTAAAATTAATTAAAACCTCCCTCTAGTTTTTTACAGTACAAATTTGCCACAAAAGCAAGATTCAAATTGCACCATTGTCTATGGAGAATGATAAGTGTGTTATGTAGGGGTGCAATTCCTGTTCTTGATGTAATTACTCTGGTAACAAAGATACCTTTCTTCAGGATACCTTCCATCTATTACCCTTTTATTTTTCTTTCTTTGCTAATGCTAATAATTCAGTATGTGGAAGCAAAGTCCTAAAGGGAGATAAATGCTTTGTGTCCCGACATTTTGAATTGAAGTTCCTTTGGTAAATCTGGCGTGTGTTTGGGCTCAGTAACCCTGGAGCATTAAGCCAGATGGTGCTGCCTTACGAAAGCCAGGAGAACACAGTACTGTGAGTCAAGGCCTTGGAGCAGTTTGTCTTCACGTCTTGGAATCGTTTATCCAATCCCCTGGGAAAGAAAGCATTTTAGTACTGCACTGTATTTTTTAGTGCCTGCTTTTCCTGCTAAGTAAGGAGTACTTAGGTAAGGCAAGGGGAGCAGTGGGTTTTGCACAGCAGTAATTACTTCAGGCTTCAGTACCAGGGACCTTTTGACCTAATGCCACTCAGGCTGATTCTGTCATGTTTAATCCCTCATGCCCCATCCGTCCCTGTGAGCCTGCAGAGATGTCCTGTTCTTTGCCCTGATCCAAGGAGCTTCTGATACTTATATGTAAACAACACCTTAAAGGTAAAATTCATGTGCTGCTTCACTTCAAATTATGCACTGAAACCTTCAGGAATTGCTCTCAAGCTTTGAGGAGAAGCTATGCTTCTGCTGGGAGGCTGTGATGGCTGCTGGTTAAAGCCTGAGGAAGGCTGAGATTATAGATTGTTTCTGCTCTGTTCCTGCCCTGCAGATTCGCCCGGAGCTGGTTGCTAATTGCTTTGCCTTTGAAAACAGTTTAACATTTTAGCTACACGGTTTAGTTTCCTCAGGGCTGGCTCTGCCCAAATAGCACCATTTAGTCATTGTTTAGTTTTCAGACTGAATGCTCCATGCAGGTGTGGATAGCCAGTGGATTCTTTTCTGGTTGTTAAAATCAGGCAGTTTCATTAGCCACTGTTTTTCATTTCTTCATAAATTCTGGCTATAGAAGTAGAGGCACAAACAAGCAGAGTGTTAATTAAGAGTCTTTTGGCCTTATTAGTTAGTTTGTCCTTGGATTGGCCCACTCTTAATTACCACCCGGTTACTATTGCTATTATTCTTGTTTAATGAGATAATCCAAATAATCTCATTTCAGTTTCACAGATCATTAGATCCAACACACTTATTAATAAGGCATTTTTGAGCTCTTTATGTCCACTCAGCTGTTTTCAGTCCTTCTCTTATCCTCTATGATGGAGGGAAGGGATGTGCTGAACATTTTGTAGTTGGATATGTTTCCTCAAAGTATTAGCACTTGCCACTATACATTGTTTGAACAGCTGCTTCTTTTGGTTAACTGCAGTAATAAAAACGTTGTACATCTTGGACAGAGGTGTTGACTGTGCTAGCGAGGAGTGGCTCTGGCAAAGAGCTGCTGCAGCCTCTCTCCTGCCAGAAAGGGTCACCTTTCCCAGCCAGGCAGGAACATGCAGCAGGTGCTGGGTTCCTCTGCTCCTCTGGTAGCGGTGTGAGAGCGAGCAGGGGTGTTCTCATGCCAGCTTCCCAGTGACAGCCAAAGGCAAGGAAGCACTAGAGGGATCATCTAGTTCATCGCTTCCCGATCTTTTCAGCAGCCTGTGACCTGCCCTGCCGCGGTGTCCCTGGGACAGAGCGGTGGCCACAGGCGCACGTCCCAAGCCTCACTGGCTGCTTGTAAGCTCCTGGCTGGAGAGCTGTGCCTCTGGAACAGAGCATGCGGATGGCAGGGGCTGTAGGTGTGCCCTTGGCTGAAAGGTTGGCTGTCTTCTGTTACCCTGTGCATCTCCTGCTGATCCCGATACCTGCGTCAGCCCTCTAACACTGTGGCTCAAATTCAACCTTTGATTAGGGCTCATAGAGGGCTACTTGGATATAGGTTTGTTTGCCATGGTATTTAAAACAGTGAAAATTCTCTAAAGAATTGAAATGAAAAGATGTGTGTGGCTGTGCTTTTGTGCCAACAAAATGGGAAAACCCCATTTTTTACACACATGCACGTGAGTTAAATGCAAAACACATGCTTCGCTGCTTTTGGTAGAGTGAACCTCTGACTCTGACTCTGGAGGATGTGAGCTCTCCTGGTCATGTCAGTGGGCTGCTCAGGGTGACTACTTTGTCACTGGGGTTCAAAACCTGGCACACATTGCTTACTTGGAACAGCGATCCAACAGTGAAACAGCAAAAGGAAAAGGGTTAAAATAATCAACCTTGATTCACTTTTGGACAAGCTGGCACAGGCTGAGCAGCTGAAGTTCCACCTATTCTGTGATACTTCTCCCTTCTGTGTTCCATGTGCCTGTGGCAGAAGGAAGGAAAGCTGCTAGAAGGGACTGGTGGCTGGAGGCCCCATCTGTGTGTGGCACACAGGCCATGGCCCATGGTTCTATCAAGTTTGAAACTTGCTGTAAAGGCAAGATCTAAAGGACGCTGCTCTGATCAGTCGATGATTTCTCAGTGCCCAGTGAAGCTGTTCTTTGCAGGAGTGAGAATTCCATCTGCTTCACTCATGGTCACTGTGGGCCTGTCTTCACCCCTGCACTGCTGGGAAGTCCAGCCAGGCTCCTGATTTAGCCTGCGCTCACATGCAAAAGTCTTTAGCCTGATTAAGTGTTAACTCTTTGAAAGGAAATGTGCCTTGAGGCTACAGTGGGGATAGCCCAGGCCGTGGATTTCTCATGTGGTACCAGCCCTGCTTAAGCAGGATTTAGCAGTCTCCTCCTCAAGCCCCTCTGCCCTGCCCTGGGTGCTGCAGCAGGGTGGTGAGCTGGACTGAGAGACCATAGAGCTCGAGAAAGAAAAACCACAAATCATAAAGCAAGTAGGGGGATTATTTGGTTGATTTTTAAAAAAGGAAGTCAAAGTATTTTCTCTGATCTGTTTTCCCATGTTGCTGCACAGACAGCTGTCAGGAAGTGGAGCAAGGGCAGGAGCAGCTCTCTGCCTCGAAAGCGACAGGGATTGCATAAGGTTTGTTTTTGTGTCCGATGGCAGGCCCAGCACAGCGCTGAGCTCATGCCATCAGCAGGGCCGTGCCAGGGCAGCTGGCTGCGGCCTGCAGTCTGCGGCCTGCACCCGCGCCCGGCCTGCGCTGCCTCCCAGCACAGCACCGCCGTGTGCCAGCGCTGCCCAGAGCTCCGGGACAGCGCCCTGTGCTTGTTCCGCCTGAGCAGAGCTTCTCCTAACGTACTCTTGGAGAGCAGGGAATGAGCTTAAGGATGGCTAATCCAGGCTGAATCCTACAGTGAAAACAAGTCCTTTACCTCAAGTATCACTGAAGTCTTTCCTCCCCTCCCAAACCCCCGGCTTCCCCATCATTCAGCAGCAGACGATATTCTCCTGGCGCAGACTAGAGCGGGGAATATTAATTGTGCTGTAATGACAACTCTCCTCTCAGAACCTGGCCTTCTGTTCAGTGTAAATGAAGGGCAATCTGTGGCCTATCAACAGACTGTTTCCTTTGGGAAAACAGCCTCACACTTCTCAGATTTCCCTTTACACTACTGTCTGTTGGTATCTTTTCCTACCTCAAGATCTGCTACATTGCTGTAAAAGGTTTTTTTTCTCTTTAATTAATTTCTTTCAGCTCTGTCAGGATAGAGGGTAATTAAATGCTTCAGTATCTTGTCATAAAAATGCCACTTTTCAGAGGAATTGTCTTAATGAGCCTGTTTTTCAGTATAGCAGAGGCTCATCTATTAGTCCAGTGTATATTTTTAGAGCATGGCATTAGCCAGAAAAGCCCATTAGATCGTTATACAAGTGGCTGAATCAGCAAACTGTATCTTCTGCTATTCTGTCAAAGCAATAACGTTAACATTATCAAAGTGATTAAAAGCCATTCATTCATTTTGCATCTGGGTTGACAAGTTCATTCCTGCACAGGCATTCAGTGCAAAGCTGTGAGAAAGGAAAACTAAAAGCTCATCATCTCCCTCAACCTGAAGATCTACCAGTGTGTGACAGATGCAATCAAAATATGACAATTGAGTGGAACACCGGATGCCTGTGCTCTGTCACATCATGGATTATCACTGGCAAAGCAAAATCAGCCTTACCCTAGGACCTTTTATAAGGATTTGCATCTTTCTGCAGCCAAAGAAGCTGTGTGTGCTGGAAGACACAGAAAGCCTTGTCCTTCAGCTCTGGGTCATCTTCCTGGAGCTTCAGATCAACGGTGGTGCTGCTGGCCTTTCCTTTGGGGTTGTTGCAGGTGTGTTTGGCCAGTGGCTTTCCTGGATCTCCTGCTCGGGAGCCATGAGGGCTGGGTACCCCAGTATCAGTTCTTGGCCTTGGCAAGGCTGTTTGTCCAATGTTTATACAGAGAGCAGAAGCAGTGGGAGGGATAAACAAGTGTTGGCTTCACTGTCATAACCTTTCTGAAAAACTGAGTAGACAGAAAGCTTTGATTCTTGGGGCTGCCTGGGGAAGCTGCTCAATAAACTTGCTTACAACAAGTGCAGCATATCCAAATCTTTCCCATGGACAGGACACGATCCAGTGGTAAAGGGCATGGGAGCTGCAAGAGCAGTCCCTGAGGCTGAGGCTGGTCTAACCTAAGATTGAGAGATTTGCATGTAGGGGCCTCTGGTTTCTGCTAACAGATATAAAGCAGCTTTGAGTCCTGTAAGTCAAATGGTGCATCAAGGAAGGAAAAGACAGAGGAGAAGAAGGGCAAGCTGTTACTTGGTAAAAATCCACCACCTGATTCCATCAGTGAACCCACCTACTCAGCTCTGGACAGTACCTGAAAGTGTTGAATTGCATTAAAAAGCAAACCAATGAGTTATCACACTGGGGTACGTACATGTAGCTGAGTTTTTTTTCCATGCTATGAATTGTCTTAGTTCTGCTGACGTCAGTGTGACCCTTTATTAGGGATTTGTTTAAATGCCACAAGCCTTTTGTGGCAAAGTGTCACTAACATTGTGTTTTAAATGAGTGCCTTGTGATAGCACCTCTGTCACTGTGTCAGACTTAAGTGCTGTGTGTGCTGTTGCCAGCCTGTCCAGGGGGCATTTGCCTTTTTTATGGTTGGTGTCTGTGCTACACACAAATTAATCTTTCCTACCATAGTGAAGAAAAGCAATATTTTTTTCATTTTTAACCCACAAAAAATAAAAAAAAGTAGCAAGCTGATGGTTGATGTTTATCCAGGGGTGAATTGCTCCAGTAGGGCATCAGTGATATTCTCAGAGCCATAAAGATGAAAAAGATCCATTAAAACTCTGGATGATTTAGGCACTTTAGTTATCTAATTGAATTGCAGTTTTGGTTTCCCTTTCCCATTTCTAGGCACCTTTGTAGTCACTTGGCCTCCTACTCAATGAATTTGTGTCTTCATTGCACTTTTCGAATCAGGAAAATGAATGCATTTAGCAGTTTATTGTCTTCTGTAGCCTGCTAATATGAATCATGCTTGGGAAACCATAACTTTTTAATAAATGGTAAATTAAAATCATCAGGTAACTGTGAGAGTTGATAGAGAGAAAATACATTTTTCATTTTCACTTTTGTTTCATTTTGAGGAGTGGATTTGAATTTCTGAAAGACATTTAAAATTGCACAGAATGGTTGTTAGCTTTGGTCTGATAAATGCATCCTGGTAGAAAAGGTCAGAAAAGAGAACTGCAAAAGCACTCTCTGTGCAAAGTATTGGCAATGGCAGAGGCATGAGGATAAACATCTGAATATTTAATATCCAATAAGACAAATTAATCATCTGCTGTTGCTTTTCGTCTGTTTTATCTATCAAAAGTGTGGGCATCCATTTTATTGGTGGTTGCTTTGTAAATACCCTTAGGCCACTGGATAGTATTAGCTAAGTTGTGTGTATAGCGTGGATCGAAAATTCCCTTTAAGTGTCTACCACAAGAGAGCAGTGTTGGTGTAATAAGCTGGGAGAGCATGCCTCGGTAGTGAAATTCTTCCATCAAAATGCACGCTGAAGTACTACAAGAGAAATTCAAATGCAGTACAACAAATCTTCTGGGAGCTCAGCAGGATTAAGGGATAAAAATAATGAATGGGGCCTAATTTCTGGTATTGAGATTTGAGTTTCTTAAAGGCATCATTGATATGACTGTGGGCTCTTTGGAAAATTTCAAGGAGTTGAAAATTTCATCATACTGCTGATAATCTAAATATGTTTTTCCTTTTTTTTTTCCTCCAGTGTGACTCCATTGAAAACAGTGCTGCTTAGTTGGTTTTTCTGAGAGAGTAATCTGGTCATGTGTGTATATTTGGGTAGGGTGGCCTAATTGGGGCCTTCTAGTACCTGAATGGAGCCTACAGGAAAGATGGAGAGGGACTATTTACAAGGGCATGTAGTGACAGGACAGTGGGGAATGGCTTAGAACAGAAAGAGTAGGTTTAAATTATATGTTAGGAAAAAATTCCTTACTGTGACAGTGGTGAAGCACTGGAACAGGCTGCCCAGAGAAGATGGGCATGCTCCATCCCTGGCAGTGTTCAAGGCCAGGCTGGATGGGGCTCTGAGCAATCTGGGATAGTGGAAGGTGTCCCTGCCCAGGGCAGGAGGTTGGTATGGGATAATCTTTCAGGTCCCTTCCAACCCAGGTCATTCTATGACTTTCAGAGCTGAGGCCAAGCTCTATGGAGCCACAGACTGGGAATTCTCTGTGGATATTGAATGCTGGGTAAGGCTCATTAGCACTCAGCTTCATTTTTAAGCACATAATCCAGTCTGCTGCGCTCTGTGCTTTTGGAGAAGCACAAATCTACTGCTCTGCTGCAGATGCCCATATCCCAGTTATAGGAAAAAATTAGGACTGTGCTTAGTAGATTCACTACACCCATGCTTTCCTGGTTGGAGACCAGAGCTGCAGCAGTATTTGAAACATATGACTGCAAATTTCTCCTCAAAAAAAGAAAAAATAAACTTTTATGCTGATGAGTTGGGATGGATTAGTCTGGAAATAATTAACCTTAATTTGTGCACAGCTTGTTAATGAAAATCTATCTCAGTATTACAAATTTTAACTGCTTTCAGCCTTGATCAAATTACTGATTTTCACTGAAATGTATTAAAAACATTTTTCTATCAATAAAAGCCAATAGTAATTTTTTTTAAGAATGTGCCTGATAGCTGCTGACTTGAAAGCCTGGTCTCTGACTTTAAAACTGCCACTTTACTGTGTGGCTGTCAACAATCTGTTTCCATGTGATGGAGAACTTGCTATCTAAAAATGACATGGCAAGTGTGTGTCAAAACGAGATCCTACAGAAGCCAGGCTCAGGCTTAAGAAAGCAGGATGGATTACTCTGAAGACAAGATGTGTTCAAAGGTGAAAAGGTTGTAACTGGGGAGAAGTTGCTAGGGTTTTAAGGTGAAAAATGATCCAGTCATGAAGCAACATTTTAAGCTTGAAGTAAGTGGAAGAGAGATAGTAGACTGCACTCTCTTGGTGCAATAAAATGCTGAACTTAGCAGAAATTGATCAGTGATAATTTGTTCCATTTGGAGGAGACCAACAATAGCAGTTTGGTGAGGAGAAAATTGTGGGAGAGCATGGCTGTACTGCATCAGAGTATAGTGGTCTAGACAGGTTGCTGGCCTTTCTCCAAGTATCTGCCACTGGATGCTTAGGAAGGGGTAGCAGAAATGCATGTGACAAGTTTATGATTACTTTTCTCCTGCTTTACCCGTTATTTTTTAAAAGACAAATAGTGAGAAGAGGTAGCAGTATGCGGTACCTTGCAGGTGAGAGTGGGAGCTGGGGTAAAGTCTATCTGAACTGATTAGCCAAATTAGTGCACTTGCTAAAGTAGCCAAAACTGAGTTTCATTTTGACTAAAAATAGTCCTCTTATCTAAATATGCCATGTACCCACTATGCCTTCTACTTCCGAAACGTTATCACAGCTGCAGTGTCCTGCATCCTAAATTTAGAACCATTCATGCCACTGAATTTTCCAGTACAGTAAATGGATGCAGCAGCTTTTTTAGAAACTAAAAAATAGAAAAGGTTAAGAATAACATAATGCAGAGCAAACCATACTGAAATATCAGTGCTTCATCTTTGGTAGCCATTAATGTCTTCAGTTCTTTAAGTAATGATGATACAAAATGTGTGGGGATTTTAGCGTCTGAATTATCAAGATGGTTCTGGTTTTTTTTCTAGAATGCTGAGGAGTGTCCTTGACACCCCCTTTTATGAAACAGTGTATTTGTGAGTCACAGGGCATGAACTGTGCTGGCTGCCTATTGCTGTAAGTCAAATTTGAACATGAAATATATCCCTAATATGCAGCAAGATGAGACAAAGGACTGCCTGAGCTTTATAGATCTATAGCTTTTCATGAGCCCTCACAAATAGACATTGTTTGGGATTTGTTTGGTTTTGTTGTTGGTTTTTTTTCTCACAGGTACATACAGAAACAAGGTTACAAAGTCTCTTTTTTTTTCTTCTGGTCATATAGGGTTGTCAGCACAACAGCTCACATTATATCTGATAGCCAGTGCATTTTCATACTTCAGGACTTTCTGTAATACCTTTCACTAAATCCAGGTCTGAATGAAAAACATATGCTATTTAATAGTTTCTGTTCTTCAGTGGTTGGGAACTCTTTCTTTATGTTCTGTCTAATCAAAATTTCTTTGAGAGATACGAAACCCTACTCTCTTGACAGAGTAGGTGAGCAAGGTTTTATGACAAGCTTTTATGTCTAGATAAGCTTTTATGTTTAGATTAGTTATAAGGTTGCTCATCAGCTGACAAATTGAGCAGAGTTCTTGGAACAGCCTGAATTGCTGTTAGATCTAGTAAAATGCATATGAAATGTTTTGTTTGTCCTAATGTTTTGCCAGTTCTTGCCAGATTACCACCTTAAAAATTTGGAAGTGTTATGCTTGAGTGTAAAATATGACTTCACAAAAGAAAGTCGCTTTTTTGTATCTGGCCAAAGATGCAGAAATCTTGAGGGACTAGTACATTAACAGTAAATCTCCTGATTTCCTATAATCTTTACAGCTGTTTCCCTTTTGGAAACTATAAATTCTAGATACTGAGAATCAAGTTCTTAAGCGGGATTCCTTGTGACTTAAATTGACTTAAAACATAAAAATTCTATGAATGGTAGAAGACTTGGGGAGGAAAAAGGTGTTTTCTGACAGTGTGATCATCAAAATGCAGCTCCTCATGGTGGCCAGGCCAAAGCAGTCTTTAGATTCAACTCTGTGAACAGTGCTCAAAGTGGATTTCATGCTCACACGTCCTCCTTTGTGTTGGTGAAAAGAGAGGCTCCTGCCCAATGCGGGGCGGCGGGTCTCGGATGCCATTCCCAAAGTGGGCTGGCCGCTGCTCTCCCTGCACTGCCTGCTCTCAGAGAGAGCCTATTTTGTTGTCATCTGCAATTTCAGTACTTTTCAGAGAGCAATTCCCTTGTAGGAAAGCTGTTGCCATAAAAGCAATCTTTGCAGGGAGCAGTGGTAAGAGCTTGCAGATAGGTTGCTGTTTTGGTCACCTGGGATTGTTTGGGGCTCCTGCAACAGCTGTTTTGTTTGTGGACTTTTTAAAAATTGAGACTTTATTTTTTTTAATATTTCTTCTAATTCTTCATTTAAGAAGTGAGAGCTAAGGTGAGCATCTTCCTTAGGAAGTAATGAATTTTGCATCTTAAACCAAGTTGCTCTTCTCAGAACTGGACTTCATGACAATTTGCTTTCTGAGGGACCAGATGGGTTTGATGCCTGTCTGAACTCTGTCATTATCTTCTAAATCTCCAGGTGTAACCTCTGACCCTTCTCTGAAGCATCTCTCTGCTGACAAACCTGAAAT